AAAAAAAAAAAATCTTGCTGTCCGAATCTTTGTTTCTGAGACTGTTATTAGTACAATAAATGAAAATGCCCAGTTATGTCCTGACTGCTTCTTGTAGTGATGACACATGTTCCAGCCAAATAAAAAATCTAGACAAGTTAGCAAAAATAAAAACTTTAAATTTTTAGTCCAACTGACAGAGTATCCAACAGAATCACACTGCCATTAAAGCCAAGGCAGCAGGATACTGGTGTAATTTATCATAGCAACCGTTCAGGTCACTTTATATCAGTTTAGTCTAGCTTCAAACTTGGCAAGCCATGCTTCAAACGGTCGTCTTTGAAAGAGACAGACCGGAAGCAGCTCTGTCAAAAGAGCCCCCCTCTTTGAACCTCATTATTCTAACATAAACATCAAGTGTGCCTTTATCTAATATCTCTCCTAAGAGCTGCACAGCCACCTGCGTTGCTCTTGAAAGAAACCACAGTACCCTTTCAGCTCAGTCTAGCCCACATATTTCACTGTACACACAATTGATCCTATGGATTTAAAAAGAATCTACAAAGCTATTAAAGTTTTACACAGAACACTCAAAGAACACGGCAGATTAGAGCACTTTTCTGGATGATGCACAGGCTTATGTTTGTATGGTGGAAGAAAGCCATGAAACACAGCAGTAGGGTAAATAAAGCACACCCCAAACATCACATATATGAATGTAAGTAACCTGGTCAGGTAATTGATTTGGTATTCTAGAGCAAGGGTGTTAAACATAAGGCCCAGGGACCAGAATCGGCCTAGCCAACTGGACATCTTTGGAAAATATAAAGGAAGGCACACATTTTGGACTTTTAACTGCATTTTCATACATTTTACAGCTCGTCCTACTGATGAAGCCCTCCCCCACAGTCTTTCATACTACAAAAAAGTAATGACGTAAAAGAAAAGTTCTTGTTTATTTCACTATCTACAATAGTAATGTAAGTTTTGGGGGGGTTTTGTTGTTGTTTTTTTACAATGTATCCACAGTCAAATAAAGAAACAAATAAATAAATACTATATTTTTGTGAATTAACCAAAATGTTTCTGCTTTATATTTACAGTCTGCGCAACGACCTACCAAAACTTTTTTCTGTAATTTTACCCATTTATTTTTGAACAATTTAAGCCCAAAGAGTCGTGCTGACAGATTTCTTTCATTAAATAGAGCGGCATTTCTTTATCATGTCGTAAAACTTAAGCGTGCTGTTGAAGTTGCACTTCTTATACTGAGATATAAGGGATTAATGTGCAGCTGAACGTCTTTACACTGTCAGAAAGAGGGTTTTTTACAGTGGCCCTGAGAGGCCAAATGGACTGCAACTTAAGAAAAAAACAGCAATAAGAAAAACGCTGCAAAAGCACACAAGATACAACGGAAATAGGAAAAACGACTACGGAAATAGGAAAAAACAAAACAGAAATAGGAAAAAACTGATTTCCAAAAGCATAAGGGAAGTGTTTCTGGGGAGACAATAACCCGACGGACCAGTTGCAGGAACCAAAATTCCAAGAATTGCCCTGGCAGACACTCAAAAGAAGTGGAGGATCTATCGGTTTTGTGAGTTAAGAAAAGATGAGAGGTAAGTGTGTTAGCCTAACTATTAGCCTAAAAATCCGTCATCAGTATTATATGAATCATGATAAAACACACCGACCATGTTTTGGGTTCCTGCAACTGGTCCGTTGGGTTATTGTCTCCCCAGAAACACTTCCCTTGTGCTTTTGTAAATCTGTTTTTTCCTATTTCTGTTTTCATTTTTGTCATTTTTCCTATTTCCATTGTGTTTTGTGTGCTTTTGCAGCGTTTTTCTTATTGCTGTTTTTTTCTAAAGTTGCAGTCCGTTTGGCCTCTCAGGGCCACCGTAGTTTTTACTGACCTGGCCCACTTAAGATCAAACTGAGCTGTAAAATGAGTTTGAAAACCCTGTTCTATGCATCAAGGAGCTGCAAACATATGATCATATAATTAAATTACAAAAACAAAAATATCTTAACATGATTTGAGCACTAAACATTAGGATGCAAGGGCAGCAGGTGAGCATTTAGAGTCGTGGTGGGAAAAAAAGGAAAAAACTGTGAGATAGGTGAAACGGGTGTGTTGTGTGTGCATATGTAGTTAAGATTGTGTTGTATTGAAGGAAGGCAGGGTTTTGTTTGGTTGAGTTACAGTCCGAGATCTAGCAACACTCTTCTAGAACCCTATAATGCAATAATACTGCTTTCCCTGCTCCCAAATAAACTGAGCATTACCACGTATTAAAGGCAGACATCTCTAAAAGCCCTGCATGTGTCCATCCTCTTGGAAGCTTGGACTATATTTAACCATGCAGGAGCTTTGCTCAGCTCAGTCTGTCTAAAAACAGAGACAGAAAAGCCCACACCCATTGTCTGACACAGTGCCCACTGGGAGCCAAAGATGCAACACGTGTGGAGGGGAGCACTTTTGCTCCTCTCTCTCATTTATTTTTTTGAAGTCTTCTCCAAAGCTAGTCAAAACCCTGATCACGCAAGAGGTCCACGCCTCCACCTAAACTTCTCCTATTCGATTTTACATTCTCCTGATCCCTAATCCAGAGACAGCATTCCTCTCTTTCCTCACGGTGGATAATTGAGCGTGAGGTGCCGTTTTATGGGCCGTTAGCCAAACTCCTGCCAGAGACACACAGCTCAGGATGGAAGCATACTCTCCAGCTAAAGGGGCATGAATCTGATTCCTGGCAAGAGTCCAACTGCAGCACATTATTCACATGATTACTGCTAGCTGAGGTGATGAAGCTCACACTGAAAACATAATCATGTTACACCTTTGGAATACTTATGAAGGGAAAAAAGTTTTTAAAAAATGATTTCTTGCCGGCATATCGAAAATAAATCAGCAACAGCAAAAACAAAGCAAAGACCAATAACAAAAAGACAGAAAGTGGTACAAGAATATAACAGACTTCCCATTTCACACCAGCAAAGGTGCTCGGTCACCTCACACAAATGGAATAACTTATTTCACAGCCACAAAGCAATGGCAAAGGAAGACATAAATGTTCCTCTTCTCCCCTTGTAACATTCAGGTGCTGTGTTTTACTGACACCACTGAGCTATCATTATTCACACAGCTGGTATCAACCAGGAGACATCTGTTCACGTGTAGTGTAAGTTATGATAACCTCACCTGTCCAAGGTCCAGGGTAACATTCACCTCATTGTAGACAGTCCCCCTGGAGAGAGGAGGGCTCTGCCACCACCGTTCAGTCCCGTCAATGGCATTGGTCACAGGGTGGGCTTTGTTTGGGTCAACGGAGTTGCAGTAGTCACAAAACTGACCCTAAAAGGTATCAGGTTTTTAGTATTCAGAAACAATTAGCAGACATGTTTAATAATGGTGGAGGTACATACCTGTACTGCCAAATGTTTAAAACAATAACAAAACAACAACGACAAAAAAACAAATAAATATGATATCTTTAATGTAGATTAATGACATTCTTGACTTGAAAAAGCTTGGGAACGCTCTTATTAAACTGTACATTTTATAGTATTATAGGGCTGTAAAAGCCTTATTGCCCTGGGAGATCTCCTGAGGAAATAAGACCCCTGTTGAAAGGGCATTTCCTTTAGAAAATGTGGAACTCAACTACAATGGTGTAAAACTATTTCTGGCAGTTGTGCAACTTGGTCAGGGCGGGCAGTTAATTGTCACGGTTCCCGGAGGGGTTCCTGGTAGTACTCACAAATAGGAGCATTGGACTGGGCCATTAAAAAGGACGAGTGGATCGCCAGTTACAGGAGTTCCCACGTTACAATGTAATCACCACGTCCCCATCCTTTTACGCATGCACGAACGCTTATTTCCTTACCTGTATATTTTGAGTAAGAAGTCCATTTGTAGGCCCTCCGACTAGTTTACAGTATAAATCATATCTCGGTATGCCAGCCTCATCCTGTCCGCAGGTTGCTGTAGCGGAGATCCCGGAGCCCTGTGCGAGGTTAAAGTATGGTGGATTCAAACTGAAACCTGTTAAGTCATTAAAAGTTTGTTGTCCGTCCGCGTCCCTGAAAAGCGTCAACCCAAGAATAAAAAATCCAAAGAGGAGATGAGCTCCTCTCATCCCTCTCGCCATGTTCCAAAATTACAGATCCGTGTTGCTGAGCGCAACCCGCAGCGTGCAGCGGGTCTTGTCATCTAAGGATCTCCATGAAATGCGCTAATGGGCTGCGAGTTACGCGTGGGGGCTCTCTTTTAGCGGGTTCACGCGTCTGTTAATCCCAAAACGACGCTTTTAAGTGGATCTTCTGCTGCTTGGAGGTGTAATCTATTTCCATCGCATGTCACCAAAGTCAACGCAGACAGCGCTGCGTGCTCTGAACCAGACGGTGCGGCACACTGGAGCTATCAGGTGTCTGAGCTCGACGCTGGTCCGCTGAGTGGGGCCAAAGGTCTGCCGTCACAGCATTCACCAGAAGCTCATCTTTTGTCCTTTTTTTCCCTTTCCTTTTTCGGTGTAAAACTTTTTTTTTAAAGGATTTAACAGTGTAAAGTCACTGCGTGTGACCCTGTTGTGAGACTTCTAGGAGCTTTTGAACCAAAACATCTCCAAACACACGAAAGATTCAGACTTAAGCGTGGGGCGGTCCCAGCTGGTGGAGAATAGAGCTGCTGCAGGTGGAGCGCCGACAACCAGGGAATTAGTATACTATATTTTTTGTAGCAACCCTTAGCTAGCGTGAAGTGTGCTGACCACTAAATTTAATTTTCCACCAGTTAATGTTATTGTCTCATTAAATAATGCAGTGTCCAATCCAATTTTGGATTCTGAAGTGTGGCATAAAAAGGGAAAAAATTAATTACGACTGATTATTGAATAATACGTCTGTTTACAGAAAAAAAAACTGTCTGTGAAAGCATTAAGCTTACACTCGGAACCTCATATCATGTTTCATTTGTATAGTTTTCGCGTGAATATAGAACAGCAGAATCTGGCGCGCTCTACACCTACGAAGTCCCCCCTCCCCAGGAGTTCACAATGACCGTATACAAACTTTTATACAGTGCGACTCGAACGTTGTTGACGCTTGCACGGTGATCTTGGGGCGACCTCTAGTGGAGCATATATCACATGTCGCATCAGAGAAGGGGATTTTAGTGCGTATTCGCACATGCGAACGTCCAGATTTGTGTGCCTTTTTTTAACTACTGCAACCGAGTTGCATCTAAAACTCCCTCTATCTGACTTTTATTTACTGTCTTTTATGTGTGACGCCACCCCTAAATTTTTTTCAGTGAAAGCAGACAATAAAATTCCGAACCAGCTTTTTCATGCTGCTGGACAATGATTCAGTGATTCAGCAACACGTATTGACTTTAACCAGCACAACAACAATTAAGTACAGTGACTCAGTGTCCCGCATCGTTCCCATTCTTTCTGACTGGCTGACTGGCAAGGCTACTTTGTTGGACGCGTGTGTCACAATGCTAAGGCGGTGATAAGCAAACAGGAACTTCTGGCATTGCCGAGTAAACGAAACAGAGTTTCGGGTGTTGAATCTGTTGTGCTTCTTTAATTCGTACGGGACTCCTCATGGAGCCAACAAATCTGCAGGTAGGTTCAAAAAAAACTTTAAGGCTGGAAAACGTCGTGTTTCTTACGTGTTTGCAACTTCTTCTCATACTGGAGGGAAATCACAGAGGGTGTTTCATGTTTGCAGTTTTGCAGGTTTCGTTTTGACACGGTTGACTTTGTTGATACTTTTTGATCCGTGATTTGTTTTCTAAGTTCTCTATTTGTGTGCCTCATTAGGTCACTTCCAGAGCTAACTGCATCACTGCCCGAAAAATAGGGTTGACATGAGCGCCTCAGATTCAGAGGCAGTTCGTGAAAGAAGTAACGAGGTGGTTTAGTCAGGGTTAATTATAATCAGTGAACTAACTAGTTTTAATAATGTATTTTCTCCTGTTTGTTAAATCTGATGAAGGCAGTAAATACCCTCACCGACCACTTCATTAGATAAATCTGCTCAATTGTTCGTATCAGCCAGTCACACGGCAGCAATCCAGTGTATTTAGGGGCAGTGTTGTGCAAAAAAATGATAGCCTGTATTAAAACGGTCGTGAATGACGTGTTGGTTTATAATCTGTGGAACAAATGTCAAATCTGTCTCTCATGAAGTCATTCTGATCCACAACCAACTATTCTGCCAAGAGGTAGAAGCTGTAATCAGTTTATCGGCAAAGAGACTTTTATATATCTTTTCTAAATAGTCTCACTGACACTAAAAAGTCATGTTTAAGAGTGAGCTGCTGAAGAGGGCAGCAGAGATGACAACAAATATAATGGTTCTGTAAAGACTCTTTTAGTCACTGCTATTTTAAAATATATGATAACATATGTACAATAAAGCAGACCCATAAAGATACTTACAAAACAGGTCATTTCTTTATTTTATATATAGCCATCTGATAAATCTTGTTAACTGCAGTCTAGTTAACAATACAAGAAAATGCATAGCACATAAAAGCATCTGATATCACTTTTTGACACAGCAGTGTTCAAACTGGGCATCAGAATGAGGAAGAAATGTGATTCACGCAACTCTGAACATGGCGTAGATGTTGGAGGCAGACTCGTTGCTCAGAGTATTTAGTGGGATTTACCACACAGGGAAAAAAACACCTTGTTGATGGCCAGACTGCTTTTCATAGATAGGACAGCAACAGTAATCCAAATAAGTACTTGTTACAGCCAAGGTACGCAGAAGAGCCTCTCTGAACACACAAGGCATGTCCAACCTTGAAGCAAATGGGCTACACCAGCAGAAGACAACACCAAGTTCTACCCCTGTCAGCTAAGAACAGGAAAACTGAGACTAATTCTCATGTGTTCACCATAACTGGACAAAAGAAGATTGGAAAAATGTTTCCCAGTCTGAGTATCCATATCCTCTGCCATTCAGGTGGTAGGGTCAGAATTTGGTATAAATAAAATGAAAGTATGGATCGGTCCTTCCTTGTATCAACAGTTCTGGCTGGTAATGGTGATATATTGGTGTGTGATATGTTTCTACAAAACTTTGTATCAATTGAGCATCATTTAAGCACCAGCATTGCTGCTGACCATGTCGATCCCTTTATGTCCACAGAATAATGCACTTTGTCACAAAGCTCAGATCGTTTCAAACTGGTTTCTTGAACATGACAATGACTTCTCTGTACGTAAATGACCTGCACAGTCACCAGACATTAATCCAGTAGTGCACCTTTAGTGTAGGGTGGAATGGCCAATTTGAATCATAAATGTACAGCTGACAAATCTGCAGTAACTGTGTAACACAATCCTGTTATTATGAGCCAAAGTCTCAGAGGAATATTTCCAGCACCTTGTTGAATCCGTGCCATGAAGAATAAGAACAGCTATGGAGGCAAAAGGAGGTCCAACCCTTTACTAGCAAGGTGTACTTAATAAAGTGTCCATTGAGTGTATATTGCTTTTCATAATACATGAATGGGTAGCTAGAGGTGGATGGCACACAATAGCCTCTGCTAATTTTCCACATAGTTTTACATTGTAAGGTTCAGTCTGTTCACACAGATGAAAGACAGTACAGTCACATTTTATTTATGAGGTTTCTTTTAGAGATTGGCTGATAACAGCAACAGTCTTGACTGATTTTCACTGGCAGTTTTGAACAGGAAACACAAAATTGAAAACACTTCTATAAATTCAAGAAACATTTCCAGCTACAGAATGATAATAATGCATGGAAGTTCATTCCAATAAAAAATTCAGACCAAGGTTATGAAGGGAGCTCTCAGGGTGTTTATCTGCAGTGTGAACCTGATGGTTCATTACTTCATAAATGGTTAATGCCCAGCACAGGTTATGAGAACACACTGACAAATTACAGTTTCTCGGTTAGTCAGAAGAGAATGCATGCATATTGATTACCAAATTTATTATAAGATGGGTAAATACAGGTAGGTCATCTTTAAAAGCCATGAACTTTTTTGGATTTTCACATTTAAAAGTATCAGAATTTAATTATATTTTCCTTTCCCTTTACTCAGCTTTGGAACGGCCCAATTTATGCACTAGCTCAAAGCCTCAATGTTTTTATTATTGTTAGTGTTCCTTCATAATCCATGTTTCTGACTTCAGATAGTGAAACATCAGGATACTTCATAGAACACTTTGGTGTTATGACCTTTTAAGGTTCATAAGTGAACTATGCTGGTGGATTTAATAGAAACACAAGGTCTGAACTATTGATCCATGTCCTGTTGTTTCAGAAAGCTATTGCCGTAGCACAGAAGGCCTCAGAGGAGGACGAGGCTGGAAACTATGAGGAGGCCATCCGCTCTTACCAACATGCTGTCAAGTACTTTCTCCACATTCTGAAACGTGCGTCACCATTGTGGCTAATATCACGCAGCTAATATCACCCTACTGTTATCTGAAATATTACAGTGTACGCCGTCCCTTCACTCTGAAGGCGGCTGCACTATTGGACATCAGTGAAGGAATACACTCAACTCTTGGCTGAATTTGGCTGAAACATAAACAGCTACATAGTTTTAGGCCAACACATTTTTTAGTTGTGATGTGTGATGAGAAAACCTTTGTGTGTTTGCTGAAACCATTGTTTCATTGTTGTTTTCTTCTTTCAGGTGAACCTCAAGGTAAAGATGGCAACCAGAAGATAAGAGATAAATGTAAACAGTACTTGGACAGAGCGGAAGAACTACAGGAGTACCTAGTGAATAAAGAGGTCATTACAGATATGACAGCACAAAATATTCCCTTTACAAATGGATCATGAAAAAATTAGTGGGGTGGGGCAGTGTGAGAGTCCTGCCTATCACTTCAAAACTTCAAGTGACATTTATTTGTTGTAAAAAAAATTAATAATAATAATATAAAGAGGACAAACCACACACACACACACACACCACATGACAGCAACACAAAATTTATAGAAATGTGAAAAAGTTCATCCATACCCAGTCTTCACTTTATAGTCTTAAAATACAAGGAGTGGGGGAAGTTAAGTCAGGAAGAGTCAAATACCTTGAGTCAGCCATTCAAAGCAACAAGCAGTGCTCAAGAGAGGTGAAGAAGAGAGTGTCAGGCAGGGTGAAGAGGGTGGAGATTAGAGTGATTTGTAAGACAAGGATAGCAATAAGAGTAACAGAGAAGGTTTACAGAGAAGAAACAGAGAAATATAAAAACTGCTATGATGTATGTTTGGAAGTGTTGTCATTGACAAAAAGGCAGGAGGCTGAGCTGAAAATGTTAAGATGTTCATTGGGAGTGACCATTGGGAGAGAATTACGGGGGCTGGAATAGGACAAGCGCAGTTTTTTTGTTTTAGAAAAAAAGGCAGCATTGAATGGTGGCAGTTACTGAACTGCATCTATGACCTGTGTTTACGACGACTGTATCGAGGCTACGTCTTGACGTCATTACATTTCGTGCACGCGAGTATCGACTTTTCAATGCGGAAGTATCTTCCTCGGCTCTGAGAAGGGAGCGTTCAGAGATACGAAAACACCAAAAGAAGTCAGCTTGAAAACTCGTTTGCGTGTTTACA